ACACAATGAATAGGAGCTGAGGAAGACCATGATTAACCTTTTAACTTCCGAATTATCTTGAAAAATTATAAACATTCTAAAACTTTGGGCTTTGACAAAATATTTACTAGAATTCCTTTTAGCATATACTGTAAGGCCTTATCACATTCTTTTTATTATCTCAATGGTAGCAAACATTCTTCTTTAAATATGGATTTGAATTTTTAAAAACACTCAAAGGATATGTGGTAAAATATTAATATGATAAAACTGAGTGATAAAGTTTAATTTTTAAAAAATTGGCTGTAATTATAAACCTTAAGGTTTTTAAACAGTTATATGACTTTAATATATCTTTTAAGTTAGTCCAAGACTTCACTTGTGGTTAGAATGTGGAAAGTTGCAAGACTTTCACTCCCAACAATGAGAACATGCAAGATAAATTATAAAACTACAGTATTTTTAAACCCAGAAGAAAAGACAGGATTTAAAGAAACCTAAATTAACCAAATTCCAACAGTTATTAATCCTTTCTAAGGCGGAACAGATTCAGAGCTGGTTTTGTCCCTTGCAGAACGGGAATCCTCCTCAAGAAGAGGAATTTGCCACAGCATGGAAGAAACTAGTCAAAGCTGGTGAGGCAGATGAGCATCCTGAGGGGCCCAGCCACAGAACAAGTGTGCCCCACCCAGCAATTCTTCCCCATGAGTTTTAAGTGAATACATGGAGTAAACATGTAATACAAAGAAAGATGAGAGCAGTTGAAACAGCCTAGAGAGATCCTCCCCTGTTCAGATACCCAGGGTACATGTCAAATACAAATCCTTGGTCTGCTGAAGGCTGGGAGAGGCACAACAGAGCTTAGAGAAGTCCCTCCAGGCACCCTGGTCCTTCACTACAGTGAGAGAGAGAGAGATCTTGAATAGTAGGAAGCCAAGGAAGGACAGAAAAAACAGAACTCAAAAATAAAAAGCTGTAAACCATACTGAAAAGCTGAAAGAAATCTCCCAAGGGTCTTTTGATTTCTGATCAGGAGAAAAACACTCTGTATAAGCAGAACCAGAGATGATCAGATATGTTAAACAGGGGTTATAAAACAGCAATAATAAATTTGTTATAATATCTAATAAATAGGATAAACAACAATGTGCAAAAATATGGAAAAATTAGAAGAACATAGGAAACTATAAAAAAGATACAAACTGTCCTGGCTGGAGTGGCTCAGTTGGTTTGGCGTTAGTTATCCCATGCACCAAAAGGCTGTGGTTCAATTTCTGGTTAGGGCACATACCTAGGTTGTGGTTTCTATTCCTGGTCAGGGTGCTTGGGGAAGGCAATCAATTAATGTTTCTCTCTCACATTGATGTTTCTCTCTCTCTCTCTCTCTCTCTCTCTCTCTCTCTCTCTCTCTCTCTCTCCCCTTCCTCTCCCTTTCTCTCTCTAAAAAAAATCAATAAAAACATTATCATTACTTTTTCAATATACAAACTGAGCCCTAGATGGTTTGGCTCAGTGGATAGAGCATCGGCCTGTGCACCAAAGGGTTCTGGGTTTGATTCTGGTCAAAGGCACATACCTTGGTTACAGGCTCCTCCCCAGCCCAGGCCCTGATTGGGGCTCGTGCAGGAGGCAACCAATTGATGTGTTTCTCTCACACCAATGTTTCTCTCTGTCTTTCCCTCTCTCTTTCACTCTCCCTAAAAATCAATGCTCAGGTGAGGATTAAAAATATACAAACTGAAATGCTTACAATAAAAAAAATATCAATAAAGAATTCATGCAATGAGCTTAGCTGTGTACATATAAGGAAAAGATCAGTAAACTTATGGATAAGTCAATAATATAAATTAGCCCAAATGAAACCCAAAGGAGGAGTGGGGAGCCAGTGATAAAAGAAACAGAGCATCTGAAATCTATGTGAAAATATCAGGAAAGCTTGATTTAGCATTCAAGTAATTCATTTTTGAGATGGAAAGGAGAAAGTGAATGAAGAGATACTTGAAAATACAATGGTCAGCATTTTCCAAATTGACAAACATTACAAGCAATCAGAGCAAAGATGTTCAACAAATGCCATCAAGATGTAAAGTAAATCACACTTAGGCACATCATAACCAGTTGGAAATAAAAAATAGAAAATTCTTAAAACTACCAGAGGAAAAAAGGCACATTACATACAGAGGGACAGTAATCAGAATTTTAGATGGAAATTTCATAGTAATAAAATGGGCAACAGATCAGAAAGCTAAAAAATCTTAAATGTGTAAACATCTAATAATAAAGCTTCAGAATACATGAAGCAAAACAACATTTAAGCTAAAAAAGAAAAAGACAAACTCAAGTCAGAATGTGAGACATCATCAGTTTACAATAATTATAGAGTTAGAAAAAATATTAGTAATGATACAGAATATTTGAAAAACTGCTACTTTTCACCTAGTGGACATAAAGAACTTTCCACCTAACAACAGCAAAATATCCATTATTTTGTAATGCACATAAAATAGTCACCAAAATAGATCATATGGTGGGTAAAAAAACAAGCTTCAAGTTCCAAAGAATTCAGATTACTCAGTTTATGTTGTTTGGCCTAAATTATATTAAATTAGAAAAGAAAATGAAGATTATCTTAGAATACTTGAAAATTTAGCAATATACTTCTAAATAATACATGAAGTAAAAAGAAAAGAATAGTATTAAAGTTTTGAAGTGTAGTTTGAAATCAGGGGGCATATACCTCCAGTTTTGTTCTTCGTTGTTAAGATTGCTTTGGTTAGTCAGGGTCTTTTGTGGTTCTATCTCAATTTTAGGATCATTTGTTCTGGTTTTGTAAAAAATTAGCAATTACACAGAATCTTTAGATTGTTTTGGGTAGTATGGACATTTTAACAATATTAATCCTTCCAATTCGTAAAGAAGGTATATCCTTCCATTTATTTGTGTCTTCTTCAATTTCTTTCATCAATGTCTTATAGTTTTCAGAGTACAGGTCGTACACTTCCTGGGTTAAATTTATTTCTAGGTATTTTATTCTTTTTGATGTTATTGTAAATGGAATTTTCTTAATATCTCTGATAGTTTAATAGTATATAGAAATGCAACAGATTTCTGTATAATAATTTTCTACCCTGCAACTTTACTGAATTCATTTATTCATTCTAATAGTTTTTTGGTGGAGTCTTTAGTAATCAAAACAGTGTGGTAGTGGCACAAAAACAGACGCAGATCGTGGAACAAAATAGAAAGACCAAAAATAAATCCACACATATGGTCAATTAGTCCTATCATAATGGAGGCAAGAGTATACAGTTTTAAAAATGAC